GCATCACCTGGTCTATGTGATTTATCACTAATAAAACTTTTTCTCTGGCTGGAAAAAGATTTGAGTTGAATTCTTTCAGACAGGGCCTGGCGTCACAATCTTGGGGGTTTCCAGCAGCACCCCTAAACCTCTAGACCTCTTCTATAGCAGTTACGGCCTCTCTCAGTCCCTCACAGAGGCTAGTCTTAGGTACAAATAGCAGCCCTAGTGAATGGTGAGGGTCTTACCAGGTGAGAAAAACAATGACCCACTTCCCCTCCTCCTCACAGGAGTGCTTTTGCCCTTCCTTACGTCTCCCATTGCTTTATGTCACACCACCCCAGGAGTCCCTCAGCAATTGTCATCATGCTCATAAACTCTTCTTTATTTTAGAACCTTGTTTTTTTTTTTGGGGGGGCACCATTTGCTCTTTCACAGCTTTGTCTTCCTGCTGTCACCTAGTAAAATTCTGACTATGTCCCCTACCCCTTAGAGGTTCTTCATTCTAGTTCTCCTTACAGCAATTGGGACTTAATAGGGATCACAACACTATTATTGTCTTCTATTGATTAGCAAGTATTTACTAAGTGCTTATTCTATGCAAGTGATGTTGGTGCTACCAGGGATTTATTGTAGATCTAAAGGATTTCAGGCAACAGCAATTGATCTAGTCCAGAGGTGGAGAACCTGCTGCCTCAAGGCAACATGTGGCCTTTTGGGTGCTTGGGTCCTTTTTGACTGAATCCAATTTTTACAGAACAAGTCCTTTGTTAAGGGGATTTGCTCTGTGAAGTTTGGATTCAGTGAAAAGGCCAAACACATGGCCTTGAGGCAGGTTTCCCACCCGATAGGTGAAGTAGGTATTTTACAAGGATAAAAGTTTGAGTCAGTCACAAAGATATTTGGAGATATGGGAGTGCAGGGTATGTGAGAGGGTTACAATTGATTTCTGGTTCCAAGGAAGGAACTAGCTTTATCCGCTATCTTTGACGATTGCCATAGCCTCCTACTTGGTCTCCCTTACTCCAGCCCTTTCCCTCCCTGGCCTATCCTCCACACAGCTGCTAAATTGATATTTCTAAAGCACAAGTCTGACTTTATCACTTCCCTGCTCAAGAAACTTCGGTGAAACCAAGGAAACTTGGTTCGGCATCTAAGGCTTAGAATGCCTCTGTCTAGGCAGGTCTCCTAAAGAACACAAAATTTTGCAGGAAATGTTATGATTCACTGGGATTCCTGGGGAGATGTGGAGTAGCTTTGTCTGGTGCTCTCCTACGTGTGGGAATAGGTGGTGCTGATGGGGAGTCTGGCTTCCCTTTTGTCTACAGGCCCCAGCCCCTCACCTCCCTTTGAAAGCCTTAGCCTACCTTTTAATCTCATTCAGATGCCTTTCAGTTCCTTCATTATCTATTCCCATGTCTATTCAATCTCTTAGACATTCTAGTCTCTGGGAATTCTCACCCAGACCCTTTTCCCAGACCCTTTTCCCAGACCCTTCCCTGGTCACCCAAAGTATATAAGATCTACCCTGTCCCTCATTCAGGGCTGAGAACCTCAGGCCCACAAGGCTGAGGACCTCTCATGCCCGCACTCGTCCTTATGGGCGACACTTGGCCTATATGTTTTATCACTAATAAACTTTTCCTCTGGCTGAAGAAGATTTGAGTTGAATTCTTTGAGACACAGCCCGGTACCACAATCTTGGGGTTCCAGCAGCACCCCAAAAACCTCTAGACCTCTTCAGTGTAATGGGTAGAATCCTGGGCCTGGAAACAGAAACACCTGACTAGCTTCATGATCCTGGGCGAGTCATGGAAAAGTGTTTACTTCAGTTCTGTTATCCATAAAGTGAGGATAATAATCCCAGGGTTGTAAGGATCAAATGAGATATACTGTAAAATACGTTAACACAGCGCCTCGCACGTAGGGAAGGCTACATAAATCTTTCCTAGTATTATCATATCTGCCTATGAATGCCTGCGCCTGAAATAAGCCCTTGGCCAGGAGTTTCTTTGGATCCTAGAGTCTCCAAGATGGATAGATGTTGAAAAAGGAGGAACCTCCCAACCTGGGGCTCGAATCCACCATCCAGAGATTATGGATCCTCGTGCTCTACAGAGTGAAACAGCCGGGCTGCCTCTTGGAGAGATACTATGGTCGGTCTGGATTTTATCGCCCTGAGTTCCAGTACTTAATTCGGGAGCCAAAAGCTCTCTTGTCTTTTTGCGTTCATGCATAAGGACCCCAGGATCCAGAGGGGTCAAATGGCTTGGCCAGGAGTCAAGTAGTTTCCCATGCTGCTGCTCCCCCAAAGGCTCAGGCGACTTTTCCCTCGGCTGGAATTAGAATCTAGAGGACAAGGAAACTTGCAATAATTCTGTGAAAGAGCCAGATAAAAGTGCCTTGGCCACCTCTGGGGTCGTCTAGGAGGGAAGGGAGAAAAGAGAGAAGGGGGAGAAGATAGAGACAAGAAGGGGGGAATGGAGAAAGGGGGAAGGGAGAAGGGAGGAGTAGTTTTCCAATAGGGAGGAGATGGAAAGGAGAAATTCTTGTTAATTGGAAAGTAAATTAAAGGGTGTGTGTGTGTGTGTGTGTGTGTGTGTGTGTGTGTGTGTGTGTGTTGGAGTAATTGGAATAAGGAGAATAGGGGGCGGGGAGGGAAGAGGGAAGAAGTGGAGGAAAGGCAGAGAGGGTGAAAGTGGAGAAGTTCAAGGGAGGGAAGCGAGCAGTCACAGCGAGAATACATGAAGCTGCTTCTCTGGCTCTTTAAGGACCTCAGGAGATGCCATATTCTCTCTGGAGTTTGGATGTCTAGCTGCTCCATTTCTCCGGGTCTCGGCTCTGGTCACCACCTCCTCTGGCGCCCCCTGGTGCTCTTTCACACCTAGTTCTAGTTCTCGCGCACGTTTTTCCATTAACAAGAAACTCTCTTTCCTATCTCCCCCTCCCTACTGGAAAAGAAAGAGAAAAATCAAAGACCTTGTAACAAATCTACATAGTCAAAAACAAATTTTGATAACCTAACTCTATTCCTAAATTTAAAAACAAGAAAATTAATTTTGTCCTTTCCCAGGACTCAACACTACTAAATGAACAAAGGAAAAATGTAATATTGTCCTAAGAAATAAGACAAAAAAGTCACCACATATCAAAAAGTGGGATTAATCATGGTAATAAATATAAAAGCGGAATATGATGCGAAACCACATGTTTTATTTTGCCCAGAATTCCCTGGCCACTTGGCAACGAAGCATAAAATAGATGAAGGTGGTAACTGCCCACTATGGTTGACAGAATCAGAGATACTTTGTCCTGTCTGGGAATTTTACCTTTACAGTCATATGATCGTCGTCATAGTCGTTATTATTGTCAGCATGGCGTGCCTACATCAGAGAAAGTGCTGAGCTCTATGAGCAAAGCAGAATTGAAGTAGTGGAGATGCAAAAATTTAAAGAATCCACCCCAAATGTTCACATGGGCTATTTGTGCACGACCTGTGGAAGAATATTCTGAGCTCATATTGGTCTGATCAGCAGCAGTCCGACACACAGTAACTTGACTCTAGCATAGTCATTTTGGTCCTCTTGGAGAACCAAGGACAACAGCTAACTAACCAATATTGCTGTCTTTGTTATCCTCTGTCTCATGGTATTATTTTCAGTCAATAATATTTTCTCTTTTGTCTTTAATTAAACATTGATATATTTTGTTTTACATCGTCTTCCAATATATGCCTCTTACCTTTCTTGTAACAAAGAATTTAAAAAAGAAAAAAAAAGCAGGTCTGCAAAACTAACACACCCAAAGAATGTATACCGACATCCAAATCCATAGTCCCCACCTCTGCAAAAAAAGGGAGAGAAGTGAACTTTTTCAACTTTCTCTAAGAATGGGCTTCTTGGTCATTAAAATTACAAAGTGTTCAACATCGTTTTTTATTATTTTTCCTATTTATGCTGTTCTCTAAATATCACTGATAATGCTGTGCCACCACATAACTTTCCAGAGGTTTCCTAGTGAATTATGTGGATAAACAAAGCACAAAAATTATCTGGTTTTGGCAAGACCAATAACAGAAACCATTCCCTAGGGACTAATGAGGCTAGTCAATTTGACTAGTCTCTAATGTATGGGACATCAAATTCTCCACCTTATAATGTGAGATAAAAAACAAACAAAAAACTTCACAATTTGAAAGGTAAAAAGCAATACCCCTAGATCCAAACCCCTAGAAGCTAGGGATTCTTAACAGGGGAAAGAGGAGGCCTTGGATAGACTACAATGAGTCTTGGATAGAAAAAAATTACATCTATCTAATTATATTAAATAAGTTAACATGTAAAGCATTTTTCAAACCTTAAAGCATTATATCAATGCTAGCTATTATTATCTTTAGTTTTACTAATGTCAAACCTGTATAAAAATTAGGCTTACAAGGTAGTCAATACATAAAGTAAGGCCTTTATTCTGGGTCAAAGAATTGTAATTGAGAACAATGCAGTGTCTTAGGGTAAGAGGAGTTACAAACAGAAGTTATATAGACCCAGGAGGAGCAGCTACACAGATAGAAGGAATAGTGGGTGGTTTACTAGTTATTTATTGTAGGGTGATAGCACATTCCCATAAAAATCACAGGATTAGTTTTAGGTGCTCGTAGAGTAAGCTTGTAGCTTGTAGACAGAGTCACCTGTAAGTCAACAGAATTGCTGAACTGCAGGAAGGGAGTCATGGCAGAAGTGTCCTTGGAGTTATCTCTTTCCAGGAACAGAAGCAGTTAGAAACAGCTGGCCATAGCAGATATTCCCAGGTGTTTACCTTGGGGGTAGGGGATGATTAGAAATTGCTAGTCAGAACAGGGTAGGGATCCCAGAGTTTTCCAGGGCGGCTTCTAGGGCTTGACACTAATATTTAGTAATCCAACAGGTTTTATTTTATGCATTTAAAAACATTACTCTGAGAAGGGGTCTATTCTACCAACTGAAGCACATAGCTATCATTTCTGTTTGCTTTTTTGATAGCAGATGACAGAGTATCTTGAGTTGGAAGTGTGCAGGTGACCTTGTGAGTTCTAAAAGGTAAGACGATCCTAGGAGGGCTCTGACATGGCAACTGTGGTGTCCCCAGAGCAGATGGAGCTTACAGGAGGAAAAACATTTGCTCTGGAACCAAGCAGGAGCTGGACCTGAGCAACAGAAAGAAAGAGTCATTTACTCTGGTGTATTTTTTTGTTTGCTTTAATCTGGGTATCACTCCAATTTCTGTTCCATAAACCAAATCAACTACTGGGGTAAGGACTGGGGTAATATGACAAAAACTGCTGGGAAAATTGGAAAGCAGTCTGGAAGCAATTAGACTTAGATCAGCATCTCACACCATAAACTATAATAAGTCTCAAATGAGTAATTGATGTGTGTGTGTGGTGTGTGTGTGTGTGTGTGTGTTTGTGTGTGTGTGTATAACAAATGAGAAGAGCAGGGAAGGAGATACCTTTTACAACTATGGGTAGGGGAAGAACTCTTGATCAACTGTATAGAGATGATCACAAGAAATAATGGACAATTTTGGTTACATAAAATTGAAAAGGTATTGTGCAAACAAAATCAGTGTAGTTAAAATGAGAAGAGAAATGGTTAACTGGGGAAAAATCTTTGCAACAAACTTCTCTGATAAAGCTGTATAGGGAATTGATGCACATTTATAAGAATAAGTTGTCATTGTTCAGTTGGACTGTTCAGTCACTTTGTGACCAGACTTGGGGTTTTCTTGGTAAAGATACTTAAATATTTTGCCATTTCCTTCTCCAGCTTATTTTGTGGAGGAGGAACTGAAGCAAACAGGGTTAAGTGACTTGCCCATGGTAGCTAGTAAGTGTCTGAGGTCAAATTTGAACTCAGGAAGAAGAATCTTTCTGACTCCAGGCTTGGCACTCTGTCCACTCTGCCACCTTGCTGCCTAAAGAACAAGAACTATTCCCAAATAGGTCATTCTTTGGCCAAAAATCTGAACAGGCAGTTAGTTTTCAAAGGAATAAATCCAGTTTATCAAAAACCATGTAAAAATGCTACAAATCACTAATAGAGAAATGCAAATTAAAAGTCTTAAAAACCTATCAAATTGTGCAAAATAACTCCTAATAATATCTTTGATTTCATCTCCATTAGTGGTATATACACTCTTTTCATTTTTGGTACTAGTGATTTGGTTTTCTTCTTTTTCTTTTTTAATCATATTAACCAATGGCTTATCTTTTTCATTGCTTTTTTCAGAAAGCCAACTCCTAGTTTTATTTATTAATTCAATGGTTTTCTTACATTCAATTTTATTTTTTTTAGGGGGAGGGCTAGGCAATGGGGTTGTGACTTGCCCAAGATCACACATGTGGTAAGTGTGGCATTTGTGAGGTGGCATTTGAACTCAGGTCCTCCTGACTCCAGGGCTGGTACTCTATCCACTGTGCCACCTAGCGCCCCTTACATTCAATTTTATTAATCTCATCTTTAATTTTCAAGATTTCTAATCTGTGGTTTAATTGGGGATTTTTAATTTGTTCTTTTTCAAGTTTTTTAAATTGCATACCCAATTCGTTGGTCTGTTCTTTCTCTATCTTATTGATATGAGCATTTAGAAATATAAAATTTCCTTTGATTACTGCTTTTGCTACATCCCCTAAGTTTTAGTATGCTGTCTCATTATGGTCATTCTCTTTAATAAAATTATTTATTGTTTCTATGACTAGTTCTTTGACCCACTCATTTTTTAACACTAGGTTAAGTAGTTTCCAATATAAGATACATTTCCAGACATAACCAATACAACAAATATTTGTTTTGCTTAATTATATTTATTTGTTTCAAGAGATGACTTTTATTGGGAGGAGAGGAGGAGCTGGAAAGGAGAATAGAGGATAGTGATAGCAATGTGGGGGAAAAAAAGCTTAAATTAAACATAAAAATACACAGAAGGGAGAATAAGGCAGTTCAGAAGAGGACACTACATTTAATAAATATTTTTAAAAAACAAACTACCTTCAATATATTTACAATGTCATTAAAAAGTTCATCTTCCTACTTTCTTTGGAAAAGTGGAAGCCAAACGCAGAATGTGGCATATGCTATCAGGTGTACTTGTTAAGAGTTTTTTGTTTTTGTTTTTTTGCTTTGCTGCTTTTCTTTGTTTCAAGGCAAGAAGAACGAACAGTGATTTTGTGGGTGGAGGGTGAATAACCAGAAAATACGGGGATGACAAGAGGAAAGGCATCAATTAAGCTTTAATTAAACACTCACCCACACCCACCCACCCACCCACCCACATACACCCAGCCAGTATTCCTCTTCTCCAGTTTGAGTAGTCATATTAATTCCATCTGAGAAGCCCAATCATGTCTCCCAACGTGTACCAAAAGTAGAAGGGACAATAAGTGCTCCGTTGGTATGTACAGCATGACTAATAAGGTTACACTACCATGGGAAAAGAGCGGGGCGGGGGGAAGAGAGGGGGAGCAGGGAAGTGAGGGGAGAAAAAATCCAACACATATCTGTGTATATAGGTAAATATAAACACACAAAGAAGTGTATATATACACAGATGTACACATCGGGGTTACGGTAATGGAATTACAGGAGGGGCGGGGCTTTTGAGTTTCGTTTTGCTTGTTTGTTAGCCCTAGGCTACATAGCGCAGTATGTATACGTTAACATTGGATCCTGGGGAACTCGCAAAACGCAAAATGGAGATGCCGGGGATCGAACCCGGGGCCTCATACATGCGAAGCATGCGCTCTACCACTGAGCTACATCCCCAAACCGCTAGGTGCACTTTCTAGTCAGCTTTCCTGGAACTTATTCACATCTAATGATATCTGCAGGATCTTTCAGTTTTTACCAGGAGAGAAAGTTCTGCTTCGCTCATTCATCAATTGTCGAAGCGGGGCGGTTTGACGGCTTCTGGAGCAGAGGGTGCTCTCTGGCCATCCTGGTCTCCCTCAACCTTTCTCTTGCCCCGCCCCCAGAAGAAGGAGGACATGAGTGATCTCTAGGGTCCCGTCTTCCCTGGAAAATTTCAGTACAATGCTTCTTCTCCTAAATCTTCTTTCTCTTTTCCTGACCTTTCCCCGAAAACGTCTGTAAATAAAGTTCTTTTTAAACAGGAAGAGCTCCTTGAATAGAAATGTTAGGGCAGAGGTCCTTGTCTGGAAACATGATTGATGACAGTCTCCGAAGACTCAGGCTTTGTTCTTTTTAGCTCCTTCCTCCTTTCCTCTAAAGGCTACAATTAAGTGGAGATATATTTATTTATAGATATAGATATACACATACACATATACATATTTACACATACATACACATATACATACGTACATATGCTTTCCCTGACAAATTTTACTTCTGATCTTTATTATGTTTCTGCATTTATCTTATTTCCTATCCCTTCTGACTCCTCTAATTTACTACCCTGCCCTCCTATTACTTAACCTAACCCCTTTCCAAGGATCGCTCCCCTATCCTCCCATTCCCTTTTGACCTATTCCCTCACCCTCTCCTCTAGAGATCTCTCTTATCTTCCCAAGGATCCCTCCTTTATCCTCCTATTCCCATTGATCTAAACATCCTTCTGTACCCCTTTTTAACCTATTCCCTCACCCTCCCCTCTAGAGATCCCTCCCTTATCCTCTCCCCTCTCCCTATCCCCTTCCTGTTTTATTTCTTCTGAATTTAGACTTTTGTACTCTTCTAGATATATATGTATTGCTCCTTCTTGAACCCATTCCCAATGAAAGTAGGTTTCCAGAACTAACAACCCTCCTCCCCCATCTAATTCCTCTGTATAGGTTCTTCCTCTTTCACCTCATTTGTATAAGTTAATTACTCTTTTTAGCTGTTCCTAAATGGTTTTAGTTTTAAAAGTCATATCATAGTCAGGTCTACCCCAATCTTTTTTACGAACTACCCAATTACTAATAACAATCTTAGACATACATTTTACATTTTACATACATAAAAAGTAAACAGTCTGTCCTTATCGAGTCACTTGTAAACAGTCTTTGGTATGTACCTTATGTTTCTCTTGGCTCTTGTATGTCACATCTTCTATTAAGTTCTGTTTTTTTTTTTTTTAAAGAAAGTCCTGGAAGTCTGACAGTTGGTCAAATGTCCATTTTTTTTTCATTCAGTATTATGCTTAACTTTGCTGGGTTTGATATTTTCTGCTGGAGCCCGAGTTCGCTTGCTCTCTATATATAGTGTTCTAAGACCTACAGTTCTTTAGTGTCTCTGCTGCTAGGACTTGTGTGATTCTAATCGTATTAAAATTTTTTTTTCTTGTTGCTCTTAATATTTTACCCTTGAGCTTGGGGTTTTAGAATTTGACTATAATATTCCTGTGAGTTTTCCTCATAGAATCTCTTTCAAGTGGTGATAGATGGATTTTCTTCTGTTTCTAACACCCCTTCCCCCAATGCTTCAGGACAATTTTCTTTAATTATTCTTTGTATTTTTGTATCAATATAATATTGATACAATATTCTTTGTATTATTGTATCAAAATTCATTTTTTGATCATAGCTTTCAGGTAGTCTGATTATTCTTATGTTTTCTATTCTTGATCTGTTCTCCAGATCAGTTGTTTTTCTTATAAGATGTTTTACTTTCTCTTCTATTTTTTCATTCTTTATATTTTGTTTTATTATTATTATAATTATTTTGGTGAGGCAATCAGGGTTAAGTGACTTGTCCAGGGTCACACAGCTTAGTGAGTATCATGTGTCTCAGGCTGGGTCGTCCTAACTTCAGGGCCTGTGCTCTATCCACTGCACTACCCAGCTGCCCCTGTTTTATTATTTCTTGATCTCTTACAATTTTGTTGGCTTCCCCTTGCCCAATTCTAATTTTCAAGGAGTCACTTTCTTCCTTAAGACTCTGGATCTCCTTTTCTAATTGGTTGACTTTCTTTTCATAATATTGTTTTCCTTGGATTCATTCATTCATTTATTTATTTATTTTAGTTTTCCCTCAATCTCTCTCAGTTGATTTTTAAAAGTCTTTTTAAAGTTCTTCTATAAATTCTTTTTGGACAAGTG